CTTTATGTTCAGTTCATGTAATTTGGGTGGGGCTGACCCAACTCTGGACCCAGATTGAACATGTGATCCAGGCCTGGCCAGTCCATTCCATTTCCCTGGTCACAGTGATTGGTTCAGAGATAGGAATGTGACCCAAGCCAAACCGATGACTGTCAGCCTCAGGATTTTTGCTGGAGCAATTGCAGAAGACCTGCTGTCTCTATGCGGGGGTTGCTACCTGCAGAGCTATACTGGGAGCTACTTGTTGACTTTGGCCACTACAAAGAGCAAGACCGCCTGAGGACAAAGCTAAGACGGAAGGAAGTAGAGCAGAGGACTGGAGATTGGTATCTGATCAAGATGTTTGAAGTGGTGAATTCGGCCACCCCTGGCCTTTTTTAGTTAAATGAACAGAAATACTCCCCTATCCCTTCCATTTTTTTTTTAGCTCAGGCTGATTTACAATGACAAGAATTATGACTGCTAACCAGAGTTGGCATAGCTGAGCTTTCTATCAGATTCTCTGAGCATGTTGTGGAGATTTTATTTCCAACCCCTTTTGCTGTGCAGTTGGGACTCTCGGTTACCCTTTCCCAGCTGCCCCGAGGCAGTCTGCTTGGCTGGCCTGCTGGCTCTCATGCTCCTCACGGGGTCATCTGTCTGATACCCTAGGCCTCCTCACCTCCCCTCAGCACCAACCCACTCCTGTGGGTGTGTTCAATCCTAGATTGTAGTCCATGATTATTCAGGTCTGCTGCTGTTAACCTCCGTGCCCATTTATGACTGAAATGAGTTCAAGACATGACCATTTTTGTTCTTTAACCTTCACTGAGCACTTCCTGTATGCCAGACTCTGAGCCAAGTGCACTGAACGCATAACCGTGTCCACTTTTCTCAGTAACCGTATCAGGCATGTTTTATGATTATTGTTCCCACTTTCAAGAACAGGAAGTGATGGCTTCGGGAGATGAAGTAACTGGACTAAGGTCAGATGGCTGAGCCACAAGCAGGTGGAGGCAAGACCTTGGAGGGAATCATCCCTGAGCCTGTGGTCTTGACCACCGCACTGGGGCTTCTAAACTAGGTGAGCAGCAGAGTCACCTGGAGCCCAGGCCACCCCACTCTGAGCAGGCCTGAGCTGGGGTCTGGGAAGCTGCCTCTTTAACAAATGGCTCAGAGGATGCTGATGCACAAGGGTGCCAGCACCTCACTGTGAGAGTAGCCATTGTCCCCCCATCAAGGACTTGGCCCCAGAAAGGAGTTTGGCATTCCCAGACCTATTGTTGTAAGAGTTGAATCTCTGCCCTGGCTTAGGAGTGATTACAATGTGAGAAAAACTTCTTTGCCGACAGAAGGAAAAGAAAGATCAAGAGCATGTGAGATGAGCAACTTGTGCCTGGGAGAAAACAAACAAAAAAAATGAAAGAACAACATCATGCCACTCATGGAGGGTGTTTGGTTGTAAGGGTATTGAGTCGAAGAGGCAGAGGTGTAAGCCAGGGCTGGAAGAAATTCAAATTCTAAGGCTTCCTTAATTTTTTTCCTGAAAAGTAATAGTTCTCCCTGCTCCCAGGAATGAAGTTCAAAGTTGTTAATAAAGCTTGAAGCCTAGCGTGAGCTGGTCGCACTGTCCTCACATCTGGCTTTTAGGCACACTGTTCCCTCCGCCTGGAAGACTCTCTTCCCTTCCCCTCGTTTGCTTAATGAACTGCTGCTCATCCTTCAGGTCCCCAGCACTGATGACACTTCCTCAGAAAAGCCTTCCCCGACCACTGAATCTGGCTCAGGTGCCCGCTCCCCTGTGCTGTTAGCTCCCTGTAATATGCCATGAACCTACCCTCATATTTTATAGTATGAGTCTGAACCCTAGCTAGGCTCTGAGTTCCTGAAGGGGAGATCATGTCTATATTGTTCTGTAATATATTCTCAGCATCTGGCACACGATAACAATCCATTGTTGGAATAAATAAATGAATGAAGGTGCAATGAAGTCAAACCAGCGAGCCTGAGGCCATTACTTGCAGTGATCATTTTGACCACTAGATGGCATGCCACCATGACAGCCCAGTTGGAATGGGATGGGAGTGGGATAAAAATTGAAGGAGCATGTTGATGGGGTGAGACAAGACTTCCCACAGGCCTCCAGTGTTTTCCAGGCTGACAGCTCGTGACCTCTGTGAACCCTCAATTTGTATGTATGGAAATCACTGCCCAGGTGATTGCCTTCCTCCAAAACCCCATTTCCATCAATGGTTAATCCTCCTGCTGTGCATCAAACAGTTTCTCCTCCTCCACCACAGAGGTGTTTTTTTGTTATTGTTATCGCTGTTGACGGCTAAGAATGATTTAATAAATTGCCTTTTTAAAAATTACTGTTTAGAGAAGAAGGTGAACTTTGTCATTTTGGGGATCTGAGCCCCCATTGGGTCCAATCTTCCACTATGCAGTTTATCCAAATTTCCATTTCTGTCTTAAAGACTCACATAAATTTACACTTCTCTTACTCTTTCCTTCTATCACCAAGTCAAGTTGACTTATTTTCTAAGGAACCATATTTTATAGAAAGCCAATTTTTTCATATATCTTGAGAATTCTAGGTAGGTGACAAGTGGCCCCAGTGAAGCAATGCTGAAGTGTAGCCCGTGGGCAGCAGGCTGGGCTTACTCATTGGCTGTTAGCGTTTCCAGTACACCAGCTCCCCAGTGCTGTGATTTAAACCTAGGTCTCGCAAAATGACACACCAGTGCATGCCACAGCCATTCTGGCTCACTCAGAAATAATTAGAACCAAACATTTTAACTGACCAATGCCAAGAATCCAGAGTTACAAATTGATGGCTGGCAAGTCTGTCCCTGAGACCCCAGCGGCCCCATCCTGCGGTTATCATGGTGGCATCATTTGGAGAACTTTTTTCTCTTCTGGAAGGTAATGAAAATCTTAGTTGGGCAGAAATTCAGGAACTTGGGCCCTTTAAGAAGTGGGGAATTAGGTGTTGTTCTAACGAGGTTAGTTCTTGACTACTGTATTTACCTTCGTGTGACTGTGTTAACCTCTCCGTGTCTTTGCTTCCTTATCTCTCCAGTGGAGGCAGCGAGGCGGCCAGACCTGGCCCACCAGGCATGGTTCAGCCCTCCTCTTGGTACATATATTTGATTTGGAGCTGGTTCTAGACCCAGTACAGTGCAGTGAGCAGTTACAAAAGCCTCTGGCAATCTTGCTTAGCCTGGCTCCCTGGCTGATGCCAACCTCTGCCCATTACAGCCTTCATATCTCAACGGTTTGGGAATTATTTAGAAACAGCCTTATTTGTACTTCCTATAATCCACCCAGTGCAACAGCCATAAAGATTTCTCTTGGTGCCATGAGCTTGACTGGAGGGTGTGGGAAGCAAGCTGAATTAGTCAAGGGCTTTGCTCCAAGGTTGCCTGAAGTGGCACATTGGTAGTAGGGGCCAGGCTAGTGCCCAGGCAGTGCCTTCGCCCTCCCTTGGGCTGTTTCCCAGTGCTCTGTGTGCGTGCGCATGTATGTGTGTGTGTGTGTGTGTGTGTGTGTGTGTATGTGTTTGCAGGGGGTTGACTCAGATCGTCCAGTCACACTCCTCTCTCAGTGAGAATGTTGTGGGCTGCCACGAAAATGGAGTCAGTACTGAGCTCACTGTTATTGGTTGGGGGAATGAGCTGTGAAACAAGAAGCTCATTAATGAACGCCAGTTCCTGGCTGCAGAAAGCCTATAGTCTGTTTAGGAATCAGAGTGTTAGTAAACACCAGAGAAAGAGTGAGACAAAGCTCTTGTAACTCCAGTGCTAGCTGAGGTCACGGGTGCTTTCAGATTGAATAAAATTGGCTGGAGCTGTATTCCTCCTCTGTGGGAAGACCTGACGCCCTCTCAAGGTTTCTGCAAGTTCCAGGAGCTTCTGTTCTCCCTGTGTCCCCAGGCCCTGGGCTTCTGCTCTCTCTGAGGCTGTTTGACTTCTTTCTTTCTTTGCCGCCAAAACCTTTCCTCCAGGATTTGAGCACAGCCAACTGTTCCAATGGCTTGGTGTGGCCAGTAAGACAGGCAACACTAACTTAAATGCTGGTTGGCTTTGGGCTTGGAGGTCCTTATAGCACCCTGCCCTGAGGCCTCCTTTCTGGCCACCCCCTCACAGACCCTAGCACCCCATTTGGATGGTTGATCCTTCTCCCTTAGGGACCATTTTCCCACCATTGGGAATGCAGGGTCTCATTCCAATGAGGCGGCGGATTCTCCACCCACACCTGTGTCTGTGTGTAAGCGCATTCAAAGATCTGGTAACGTGGTGTGCGAAGGGAAGTCCGCTTGCTTTTTGAATCTCATACCATGTGCAAACTATTATTTATTTTCAAAAAATCCCAAAGTAATTTCTTGAAAGAGGCCTTCTCCTTAGGGTCCCTCCTTTACTGCAGAGAAAAACCAAAAAGGCTTCATAATCTCAGCCTACTGTCTCTCCCCCCACCAGCCTCTCCGTGGAAGTAAATAGTTTAGAGATTTAATTTTCCAACTGATAGGAATGACGCCTTCCCTCTTCGAAAGCAGAAGTCATTACAGTGAGTTTGGGTTTTAAATGACATGGTGTTCTCACCGTGCTCCATTGATAACATATCACATTCATTTGTCCCCTCAACAAATAAACTGATGCCACCGGTGTTCGATGGAAGGTGAATTCCGTCTGGGCTGGAGTTATCAGGGGAGGCTTCCTGGGGAGGTGGGAGCTGACCTGGAGCATTAAGGCTGAGAGAGGGAGAATTGGTGAGAGGAAGACAAAGGGCAGGGCCAGTAGGAGGTAGGCGTGGGGGTGGATAGCCCTCCGCTCAATCCAGGATTTCGGTGGCGCCACTCGGTTCTGGCCCTGTGCCGGGCACGGTTTCTAGAGCGTCAGACAGACACAGGTGATTCTGACAGCGCCTGAGGAGTGGGAGGAGCCCAGGGGCATCACAGGGCTGCCTCTAGGGAGAGCGGGAGAAGCTGCCAAGAGAGAGTGACATTTAAGCTGAGACAGGAAGAATGTGTGGGTGATGGCGTGAAGCCGTGCTGCAAGCAGAGGGAACATTGTGGATGAAATTCCCAAGTAAGGGGGAGCCTGGAAAGGAAGAAGTCTGCCTTGGTGTGCGCTCCTCGGCCAGTGCCGGGAGGTCGGGAGGAACAAGGCAGGGCGATGTGTGGGCAGGGCGAGGTGTGGGCGGGGCGAGGTGTGGGCGGGGCGAGGCAGACAAGGCCTCCAAGGCTCAAGGAAAGGCGCGATCCTGAGGGCAGTGGGTTGAGCCCTGGACCAGCATCTGCGCTCTAGGAAGGCACCTGGGCTGGGCTTGGAAGACGGAGGGAAGGGGAGGCACGGCGAGCAGAGTGTTTGGGAAGGGGTTGCTGCAAGGAAGCAGAGCTCTGACGTCTGGCTAAGGCCAGGGGTAGGTTAGACAAGTGGCCTTGTGTGAGGACCTGAGTGGGCGGGGATGGAGCCTGGAACCTCATAGCAGGGAGGCAGAGACCAGAGAACTTGCAAAGGGAAGCCTCTGAAATAGGTCAGGGTGCTTGGGGGAACCAAGCTGAGAGCTGCCAGGGGTGAATCCTCTGCTCTGCAAGAACAAGTGCCATGCTACCGGTGGGCAAGGGCAAGGGCAAGACTATAGCTATTGGCAGGCAGCATCCAAGATAGGCATGGCATAAGTTCACCCACACAGGGATCAAGTTCACCCTCCCTCAACTCTCCTCCAGTCCTTCATGGAGAAAGCCTCAGCAGGGCGCCAGTCTGTCCTTAACACCTCTGCCGCTTGCTAGGCCCCTGTTCTACAGGGAGAGCAGGCCTCAGGCTCAGAGCCTTCAGCGGGCGGCCCTGTCTCCCCAGGGCTTCCTGACGTTGGGTTGCACTTAGTTCTATGGCTGCTTTCCATTTATGGTAAGTGAAACCAGATTTCCAATTAGGGCAGTGATACCAAGTTTCGTGTTTAAATGAAGGCATTTGAGCTAAGGGGGCAGGGGGAGGCAGGAAATGGACCACCTTTAAAAATTATTGAGTAAATAACGGTACAGGTGGTGTGGGGATGTGGCAAAAGTCAGAGGGAGGACTTGAATGACCAGAGGTTGGGGACACTGGGTGGCAGAGAGCACTGAGTTCGAAGTCACCAACCTGTGTGTCTGTACCGCCCAGCCCACGGCCTGCTCTGCTCCCCCCAAGTGAAGCCTGGTTGGCATCGTGGATGGGAAAGGACTCCAGGACTCCGAGGTGCAGGCCAGTGAGGAATGGCTCCTGGGACAGTCCTTGTGTCGGACTCACGAAGGGAGGGCTCCCTGCCCTGGTCCTCCCACTGGCTTCGAAGGTAGGAATTAGAGGTATGGGGTGAGATTAACGCCATCTTATTCGGAAGACCATTTTGGCTCCTTGAAGAAACTAAGCCTGAAATATAAATCTCCCCAAAGATAAAATATTTAAGATAAGTTGCCCAAACACTATCAGGTAGGCTTTGCTCTCCCAAAGGGAGGTGTGAAGATCAAGCCCTGGGGAGGTTCTACATGTAAAGCTGCTGCTCGCGTCAGACTTGGCCCGGTCCCTGGGGCACGGAAGGGCAGGGCAGCTGGGCACATGGGTCACCGAGGGGAAGTGGCCCCTCGGTGCTCGGGGAATTGCCGCTGTTGCAAGACTAAGAACTCCGTGCCCCTTGAAGTGGACGCTTCCTCTTACGAACTCTCAGTGTCGTTGGTGGCTGTGTTCCTGCGCACTCCCCAGGCCCGGTGGCCGGCAGCATGACTGGGTGCTGGCATTGCCTGACCCCAACACAAGGACGGCCTTCCAAGCAAGTGGCCATAATTTAATCCCTCTGTTTCCTGTTTATTGTCAGCTGTCACTCCTAGAAGTAAGCCGAGTGAGGGCTTGTGCCGCCGGAGCCCCCGGCGCCTTCCGCATCCAGCCCTCCGCTCGTGAGTGTGGGACAGAGAGGCACGTGTGGAAGGGCCGGAGACAGGGCCTTGCTCGTCTGCTGCCTCGCAGGGCTCCAACCGGCCAGGGAGAGAAGGACTGGACCCTGCAGGAATGGAGTGCAGTGGTGGGAACTGGGAACTGGATTGGCCCTGTGACCCCATCATCTATAAAAGGAATTAGAGAAAGAATCCTTTTAAAATGAAAGTTTAAAGCATTAAAAATTGCTCTGGGTTCAAAAATCTGAGGCAATGGCTGAGGTGCTTTCATCAGCCACCCAAGTCACAAGAGTGCTCGCTTGCCTGAGGCTGGATTGGGTAAGCGGAAGAGGGTCCCCGCAGTCCCATCAGGAGATGAGGCTGGAGGATGGCAGTCTACCCCAGTTCACTGGGAGGAGGTAACTGGACCAGAGGAGGAGGGGCGACTGGAGCCTCATGTTCAAACTGAACCATCTACCGCTTTGCTCTCAACCTCTCAACCTGGGTTCAAATCCTAGTTCTATGGCTTGCCAGCCATGAGACCTTAGGCAGGTTGGTTCATTTCCTGGAACTTCAGTTTTCTCATCTGTAAAATGGGGATAATAAAGTACTTATGTCCTGGGCTGCCAGAAGGATCAGGGGAATGAGGGCATGGAAACTGACGGCGGCCGACACGTAGCAGATGCTCGGTAAACGTCAGCTTTACTTTAGATTCCAAGAATCTGAAAGCACTGTGAGTTGTTCTTAGGAACCAAATGTAATTTACAGTCAATAGGAAATAAAGTGCACACTTCAAATAATGAGATAAGTTCCAAGAGACAACGTTGTCATCAGTGAGTTGGGGTTTTTCTCCTACACTGTCTTGGGAGCTTCCTTACAGATGAGTGGTCTCCCTCTATAAACCCCGAGAGCCACAACCTCAGAGGCTTATTGAAGTCAGTCAGGAGAGACCTCTGCTTCTCTTCAACAGGCCAGCTGAGGAGAGTCCCTCAGATTCAACAGCTAAAGCTCCATTTTTTAAAATGTCAATAAATTGCAAGTAAACCACACATTTAAAATTATTGCCTGACAACTAGGATTATACTTTAAAAGGTAACATACTGATTGTGATCATTTGCAGCAAAATCACCTTGTACATTTCTGTGTTCCTAAATTAATAAAATGATCTCTGACCTGAGTAGGGATTGTGTATATTTCAATTTCCTCTTACATTTTCATCCACTGCACCCCATCACTTAAAAATGCAGCTGAGCCTTTCCCCCAAGATGTCTGTATGAGAGGGAAGTTTAATTTCTCCTCCGGACCCCTCCTCGATTCCTCTGGGATTTGCTTCCCACAGGGGCCCATCTTCTCTCTCCAACAGAGCCTCCCTCTGCAGAAACCAGGAGAAGCCCAAGTCCCAGGATGTGAGTGCATGGCACTCGGGACTGCGTCCTTTACACCGTGCCTTCCAAAGGGTTTTGTTCTGTTTTGTTTTCAGCGCTTGTGCCAGGTTCCTCTGTGCCAGGCCCTGCGTCAGGGACTGAACAGGCACAGGGAGAAGCAAGACCCACTTTTTTTTTTTTTACTGGAGCAAGAACATTTTTACCTGTATAATGGGAATAATAATCATGTAATAATAACTTAGCCCTTCTCCAGAGGTTGTGTGGGGGTTAAGCTAGAGGACCGGGAAATACTTTGTAAATTATTAAAGTGCTTTCTAAATAAAAAAAGGGCCAGATATAGTGTGAAAGAACATGTTAGAAAAGAGAGCTTGGTTTTCTACACCCTTTATTTATTTATTTATTTATTTATTTATTTATTTATTTTATTGATTATGCCATTACAGTTGTTCTATTCCCCCTTCATTCCCTTCCACCCTACCCCCCATCCCCACCATTACCCCCCCTTTAGTTTATGACCATGTGTCTCAAGTTCTTTAGATTCTATATTTCTCCTATTCTTACCCTCCCCCTATCTATTTTCTATCTACTGTCTATGCTACTTATTTTCTATACCTTCTCCCCCCTTCTCTTCCTCCCACTCCCCTGTTGCTAACCCTCCTTGAGATCTTCATTTCTATATTTCCACTCCTGATCTAGCTGTCCTTTTAGTTTGCTTTTGTTTTAGGTGTGAGTGTTAATAACTGTGAGTTTGCTGTCCTTTCACTGTTCATGTTTTTTTAACTTCTTTTTCTTAGATAAGTCCCTTTAACATTTCATATAATAAGGGCTTGGTGATGATGAACTCCTTGAATTTGATCTTATCTGAGAAGCACTTTATCTGTCCTTCCATTCTAAATGAAAGTTTTGCTGGATAGAGCAATCTTGATTGTAGGTCTTTGGATTTCATGACTTGGAATACCTCTTTCCAGCCCCTTCTTGCCTGTAAGGTCTCTTTTGAGAAATCTGCTGACAGTCTGATGGGGACTCCTTTGTAGGTGACTGTCCCCTTAGCTCTTGCTGCTTCTAGGATTCTCTCCTTCATTTTAATTTTGGCTAATGTAATGATGATGTGCCTTGGTGTGTTCCTTCTTGGGTCCAACTTCTTTGGGATTCTCTGAGCTTCCTGGATTTCCTGGAAGTCTATTTCCTTTGCCAGATTGGGGAAATTCTCCTTTATTATTTGTTCAAATAAGTTTTCCACTGGTGGCTGTGCCTTTCCCCCTTCTGGTACCCCTATAATTTGGATGTTGGAGCGTTTAAAGATGTCCTGGAGGTTCCTAAGACTCTCCTCATTTCTTTGAATTCTTGCTTCTTGACTCTTTTCTGTTTGGCCATTATTTGCTTTCTTCTGGTCCACTCCATTGATTTGAGTCCCAGTTTCCTTTTCATTGCTATTGGTGTCCTGTGCAATTCCATTCATTTCAATTAGTTTCGCCTTCATATATTTGTCTAATTTGTGGGTATAATCAACCAGTTCTGTGAGGATCCTGATGACCAGTGTTTTAAACTGTGCATCTGAGAGTTTTGCTATTTCTTCATCACTTAGATCTATGGGCTCTGGGGCTTTGAGATATTCTTGCGACATTTTTGGTCTGTTCTGGCCCTTTAAGTGTGAGAAGCGGTGCCTTGGACTCCCAGGTCGCTGGGTTGTGACGCTGTATGTTGGGGCGTGGCCCGAGCGGGGAAATGGCGACCCCCTCTGCCGCTTCTAACAGCTGGGTGCGGAGGAGCAGTGCCTTAGGTGGTTCACCTGGGCCGGGCCACTCAGAGTCGCTGGGTTATGACGCTGTATGTGGAGGTGGGGTCAGAGCAGGGAAATGGCGGCGCCCTCCCTGCCACTGCTGCGGGGACCCGCCCGGCCCGGTCCAACCGCCCACTCCCTCTCCTGTCTGCCCACGCACAAATGCGCGACCACAGTCAACATGCAGCACCGCTCCCCACTGTCTCCCCTGCGGTCGCTCGCCTGGTTGCTCGCTCGGTCGCTCACTAGGTCCAACCCTGCGCCTGGATTCCGCGCGCTTGAGTCTGTCCGACCGAGTTTTCCTGTGCAACCCCGTTTCACCAGCTGCTGATTTCGCCCCTTGCCGGTCAGGCTGAAGAATTTGTTGTTAACGGACTTCCGAAAAGTTCAATTTTCCGTGTTCTGGCTATGTTTTCTGTTGCTAATATTTAGTTGTCTCTAAACTTGGTTGTGTGAGAAGGCACGGCACATCCACCTATGCCTCCATCTTGGCGGAAGTTGGGTCCAACTTCTTTGGGACTCTCTGAGCTTCCTGGATTTCCTGGAAGTCTATTTCCTTTGCCAGATTGGGGAAATTCTCCTTTAATATTTGTTCAAATAAGTTTTCCACTGGTGGCTGTTCCTTTCCCCCTTCTGGTACCCCTATAATTCAGATGTTGGAGCATTTAAAGATGTCCTGGAGGTTCCTAAGACTCTCCTCATTTCTTTGAATTCTTGCTTCTTGACTCTTTTCTGTTTGGCCATTATTTGCTTTCTTCTGGTCCACTCCATTGATTTGAGTCCCAGTTTCCTTTTCATCGCTGTTGGTTTCCTGTGCAATTCCATTCATTTCAATTAGTTTTGCCTTCATATGTTTGTCTAATTTGTGGGTATAATCAACCAGTTCTGTGAGGATCCTGATCACCAGTGTTTTAAACTGTGCGTCTGAGAGTTTTGCTATTTCTTCATCGCTTAGCTTTATAGGCTCTGGGGCTTTGAGATCTTCTTGAGCCATTTTTGGTCTGTTTGAGCCCTTTAAGTATGAGGAGCAGAGCCTTGGACTCCCAGGTCGCTGGGTTGTGATGCTGTATGTGGGGGCGTGGTCAGAGCGGGGAAATGGCGGCCCCCTCTGCTTTTTCGTGCAGCTGGGTGAGGAGCAGAGCCTTAGGTGGTTCACCTGGGCCGGGCCACTCAGAGTCCCTGGGTTATGACGCTGTATGTGGAGGTGGGGTCAGAGCAGGGAAATGGCGGCGCCCTCTGCTGCCCCTCGGCACAGGGAGACCCCCCCTTCCGGTCCAATCACCCACTCCCTCGCTTGTCTATCCGCGCACCAATGCACGACCACAGTCAACCCGCAGCCCTGCTCCCTTGCTGTTTCCCCACGGTCGCTGGGTCTCTCACTAGGTCCAATCCTGCGCCTGGATTCCACGCACCTGAGTCCATCTGACCGAGTTTTCCTGTGCTACCCCACTCCGCCAGCTGCTGGTTTCGCCCCTTACCGGTCAGGCTGAAGAATTTGTTGTTAACAGACTTCCAAAAAGTTCAATTTTCTGGGTTCTGGCTGTGTTTTCTGTTGCTAATATTTAGTTGTCTCTAAACTTGGTTATGTGAGAAGGCATGGCATCTCTACCTATTCCTCCATCTTGGCGGAAGTGTCAAAACCCACCTTTTTTTTTTTTTTTATAAAGAATTTATTTATTTTTAGAGAGAGAGGAAGGAAAGGAGAGAGGGAGAGAAACATCAGTGTGTGGTTGCCTCTCATGCACCCCCTACTGGGGACCTGGCCCACAAGCCAGGCATGTGCCCTGACTGATGATTGAACTGGTGACCCTTTGGTTCACAGGCGAGCGCTCAATCCCCTGAGCCACACCAGCCAGGGCATATACCTCCTTTTTAAAAAACAATAATAAAATATCAACGGTCGTTTATTAAGCACCTATTACACACTAGCCACTTTATAGCAGTCTTGCTAGTCCTCGCCCAAGCCCACTGGAAAGTCTTCACAGTCTGTTGGAGGTGCTCTCACCTTTGCCAGATGCTCTGCAGGCCACGGGGCAGGACCCAGGTGTCCTGGAGACAAGCATCAAGGGAAGGCTGACTGAAGAAGAAGAAGGGGTAAGTGCACTTTTCTCTGGATCACAGAGGCAAAATGAGGACTGGGGCTCCAGGGAACTTCTTAAAAAAGAAATAGGAACAGCAACTGGGGACAACGACCTCAGGGTTTTTGTGAGTTTCTAAATTCCTATAACTTCCCCTTATTGGTTCTTCCATTATTCATGCCTTTTGCCTGTAGGGAGAAGCAGTGAAATCTATTTTTTTTTGGTAAATATTTTATTTATATATTTTCAGAGAGAGGGGAAGGGACGGAGAAGGAGAGGAAGAGAAACATTGATGTGTGAGAGATACATCAGCTGGTTTCCTCTTACATTCCCCCAACTGGGGACCTAGCCTGCAACCCAGGCATGTACCCTGACTGGGGATTGAACTGGCGACCTTTCAGTTTGCAGGCTGCCGATCAATCCATTTGAGCCGCACCATCCAGGGCGAAATCCATCTTTCTCAGGCTACATGTGTAAGTGTCTTCTCTGGAGACAGGCAGGCCCCAGGGGGTGGGCCTGGGATAGCTCTTCAGAGGCCAGAGTAGGGGATGTTCAGAAGTCCTGTTTCATGCTCACTTTCATTATGTATGGTGGCCCCAAAGGACCAGGAGCCTGGGGGTGGCTAGAAAGAAGGATGGAAAGACCATGGTGTCTAGGACCTTCAGGGACAAAGAAAAGGGGAACTCGGGGATGTGAGTCCAAGCTGGTCCTGAGATGGGGTGAACTGAAAGGGCAGAGACTTGGCCCTGTCCCTGCAGAAGGCTGTCACAGGGCTGAGCTGAGGCCTTGGCTGAGCTGTGCCCTCCCTGGCCCTCTAGGCCTGAAGTTTCTCTTCCTCCTCCCTCCCTCTGCTCCACAGTGACCCACCCCCATTCTTGGGGAATCATAGGCTA